CATTAATGAATTTTAAAAATCGAAAGCGCCAATTTAAGTTTTAATTATTAATATGTTTATAAAACTATTATTATCTGTTGTTATTCGATTAAATCCAACACCGGAGAAGCTTTCAACTGAAGAATAACATTAACAGTAGCGAGGACTAACCAGTTAGTCTTAACTAATGATACTGAGGCGCACACAACATAGGCGATTTAATTAAAATGCTTTTATAAATGCATTAAAATAATAATGATTGCGTGCGTATAATAGAAAATAATAAAGTGATATATAGGAATATATTTTAAGAACGAATAATACACCTCGCCGATTAAATAAAATACTACACTTAGCCGAATTTAACAGCTAATGTATGATGAAAACAAATACACTTTTAATTAAATAAAATTATTTTATTTTATTATTTTACCTGCCATGGAGGATGGTTTTAGTTCAGATCCTTAAAAGCAAAACGTTTCACTTTGTTCTTAACTTCGCACTGAAATGTCGACCATGTGCAGATAGTTAGAGTTTTATTTTTAACCTGACTTTTTCTGTAGATTTAACACATTCATCCTGTCGTTCGCAGTGATGCCGAGACGCGACAGCAACTAACGGCGATCGAATTATCAAGCCTCGGGATTCGGATCGGTAGTTCGGATTGACAGACCATCCAAACATGCCCGGGGAAGGATCCGGTTCCGCACTTTCCTCACACACGGAGGCGGACGACGGGAAAGTTTCACCGATCATCTGTGAGGATGAAGTCTCGAGCGGCGGCCGGTACATACTCAACGGGCTCGGGTCCAATCGCTATTTCATGATGGGCTCGACGCAGCAAGCGCAGGAGAGTTCGAGTTCGAGTTCGAGTCCGTGCGCCTTGTTTCCGTACACGAGTCAAACCGGAGGCGTGTTCGCCGGTTCGGACGGATCGCGGTACGCGGCGTCGCTGCACTACGGCTCCGTGCTTCCCTCCGCGGGCTTCTGTCAGTCTCTGTGCGGGGGACGCGGCGACTTCGGCGCGGGGTATCAGTTCGGACACGGTTCTGGAAACAGCTTCCACTCGTATCAGGGCTCCGGTATCGGCTCCATGGCTCTGTCCGGAGCGGGGCTCCGAGCTCAGGTGTATCTGTGCAACCGGCCGCTGTGGCTCAAATTCCACCGGCACCAAACCGAGATGATCATCACCAAACAGGGCAGGTGAGCGGATCAAACCTCTGCTCTGGACCGGTGGAAAATGCAGGTTTCATGTTTTTGAGACGATAGATGTTCTATAATAAACAAATAAATTAGCCTACCAATATTTTATTAGGCTGTAAGAACGCTCCAAAGCAAATCACAACAACCGGCAGATGGACCTAACAGTTTTAAGTATTCTTATTACAGAAAGAACGTTTTAAATAGTGTTTAGGTCAAAAGTATTTTTACCTGGCGCAAAATAATACGCGATCCCGAACTGACGTGTTACTATAGCAACAGTAACGCGGAGTTTGTGTTGTCGTAAATATTTTTGAGGCTATATATGTATTATAATAATGGTCAACAGTTATTAGACAAATAATACATTGTTTTGTTTTAATAGCTAAATGACCACTCTAAATCACAAACAACTGGCTGAGAGGATCTTAAAAATAAGTGTTTCAGATATTCTGATTATCGATCGATCGAACGTTTGAAATGTGTTTTCAAATAGTGTTTGAATATTTAGATCACGAGGATATAAGTATTTGACCGGGCGGGAAATCCCGAGCTGACGTGTTACTATAGCAACAGTATAGCCTACGAGCGCTTGTGTTGTTGGAAATATTTTTGGCATAATCGATGTTCCATAATAATGGTTAACGGCAATTAAACAAATAGACGCATTTAATCAATATTTCCTTGTAAGAACGCTCTAAAGTAGCCTAAACTGATGGGACTTTAAAAAGAGTTTTAAATATTCTTATTACCTTTCAAAAAGTGTTTAGATCAAAAGAATAGGCCTATACATATTTCGACCTCGCAAAATTCTTGCTATAGCAACAGTACACGCGCTCTTGTGTTGTTATAAATGTTTTTAAGACGATCGAAATTCTATAATAATGCTAAAGTGTTTAAATAAATATACGAATGGGCTAAAGTAGGCTAATCGGGGGTCTTTTAAATATGACATAATCGTTTCAAAATAGTGTTTCTGTAGTTAATTGACATGGCGCTTGTGTTGCCATAGCCTACTGTTATCATTTATACATATATCACATATATCACAAAAAGTTTAGGCTAGTTTTTGATAAAAAAAAAAAAAAAAAGTTGATACCTGAAATAGCACCATTAAACAAATTTAGGTTGAACGCTTAAAAAAACATAGAAGTTCTTTATAAACATTTATTCCAATGAAAGCTGTAGATATATTTCGCACGAGTTAACAGAATATTTTTTTGTTTCATAATTTGTATTCATTCTTTGTTTTGTCTTTTAATTCCCCGGACAGGCGGATGTTCCCATTTCTAGGTTTCAATATTACCGGCTTGAGTTTGACGACGCATTATAATGTGTTTGTGGACATAGTTTTGGCCGATCCCAACCATTGGAGATTTCAGGGCGGAAAATGGGTGACCTGCGGGAAAGCCGACAGTAACCTGCAAGGTGTGGAGGACTGAAATCGATAGAATTAGCATGCGCTATTTTTATTCCATTTAAATTCTGTTTTATTATTTTAGGAAATAAGGTTTACGTCCACCCCGAATCGCCGAACACAGGCGCTCATTGGACGAGACAAGAAATTTCTTTCGGTAAACTGAAACTAACAAACAATAAAGGAGCAAACACCAATGCTTCACAGGTAAACAATTTTATTTTTATTTTGTAAGAATAGAACAATTACTGATGCATAAATAATTGTTCTAAATGCATTGCATATTGTTTTTGTGATAAAAATGCAACTAACTAGCACAAATACCTTTAAATGTGTGCTCTGATTCTATGTTTTCTTTTAATTAATGTCTTTAATCAGATGATCGTCCTTCAGTCTCTACACAAGTACCAGCCCAGGCTTCACATCGTTGAAGTGTCCGACGACGGAACTGAAAGCACTGGACGAGATTCTAAAACTCAGATCTTCACCTTTCCTGAGAACCAGTTCATCGCTGTTACTGCATATCAGAATACTGATGTATGAGCATAAATCAAGATATGCGTGCTTCACACGCTCAGTTAGGATTGATCTTCACATCTGTGTTTTTCTTCTTCTTCTAGATCACTCAACTCAAGATCGACCACAATCCTTTCGCAAAGGGTTTTAGAGATAATTATGATTCGTGAGTATATTATATCACTGATATCTCACCGTTCACTCTTAAATATAAAGCTGCTTTATTTGCATTGATGGTGCATGAAGAACCTTTAACATGCATGGAGTCTTTCCATTGCACAAACGGTTAAAAATGAAAATCTTGAAATAAATGGTTGTTTTATGAACTCTTCGCTAAAAGAAACCATGGCTCTTCTGTGGCATCACTGTGAAAGCCAGTGTGGAACCACTAAAGGTTCTTTTAAAGGAGACATATTATGCCCCTTTTTACAATATGTAATATAAGTCTCAGGTGTCCCCAGAATGTGTCTGTGAAGTTTCAGCTCAAAATACTCCACAGATACAGAACAGTTAGCATGTTCTGCTCAAACTTTCATCACGGCATTAGAGCTGGTACAGCGTTGTCGCTTGCGAAAACACAATGACGGCGGCGTGGGTGGAAACTTACAGATTAAGGGGCGGTAATATTATAATGAGATCCCTTTGCCACGTCACCAAGGGAGCGAAATCAGACGCGCTCGTTTTCTCAGACGCTTGCAGAAAAAGGCTTCCCAAAACAAAGTTACTGGGTTAATCTTTTTCACGTTTCCTTGGTTGGTAGATGCACCGGGGACCTGATTATAGCACTTACAACCTGGAAAAGTCAGATTTTCATGATATGTCACCTTTAAGAACGGATCACTGAAAGGTTCTTTGAGGAGCCCAAAATGTTCTTCTGTGGTTCCCCTTTTGGAACCTTTGTTTTTTATCTTATTTGCATTCATCTTTCAGGATGTACACCGTTCCAGAGCGTGAAAGACTCACACCGTCGCCGTCAGACTCGCCTCTCGCACGCTACACCATGCAACCCTTTCTACAGGATGAGTTTGTCAACAATCTGACCCCGAGTCGCCTTTACAACACCGAACGGACGGTTTCGCAGACAAACAGCATGCTTTCTCCTCCGGTGGAGGACGCTGGCGCTGCTCAGAGGTGGCTGGTCACTTCAGTACAGCATGCTAGCGGCAGCAAGCTGGAACTGACGGCATACGAGGGCGATTATTCCAGCTCGTTATTACCGTACAATTTCAAATCCTTACCTCTGCAGAGCGCACACTCGCTGGGCTACTATCCAGACGCCGCCTTCGCATCCGTCACCGCAGGATGGGGCTCCAGAGGCTCTTATCCCAGAAAAGTGGCGTCTGGATTGCCCTGGTCACCCAGACCAAGTCCCACGGACTTCACAGATGACCACATGCCCGATAAGGACAAATCTAGGGAAGGAAACACATTTAGTCAGACTTCAGCCTGGATGGAGAGCACGCCGCCTTTGAAACCTCTAGACTCTGTGGAGCCGAGCATTTACTCGGTGGTTTGCAAACGGAGGCGAGTTTCTGGAACAGAGCAAGTGTGAAGGTGATACAAGGCCATCGGCTATTACGCTTTCTACGCCAGCAGCTAGAGAAGCGTTCAGTCTCGTCTGATTTTGGTGTGGATGCGCTGAACTGCAAGACTGATCCACATCACGTGTGTCCAACTTTGATCGATTTGGCCATTTTGTGATTTGTGACCCTGGAGCACAAAACCAGTCATAAGGGTCAATTTTTCGAAATTGAGATTTATGTATCATCTGAAAGCTTTCCATTGATGTATGGTTTGTTAGGATAGGACAATATTTGTCTGAGATACAACTATTTGAACATCTGGAATCTGAGGGTGCAAAAAAATCTAAATATTGAGAACACCGTCGCCGTCAGACTCACCTCGCACGCGCTACACCATGCAACCCTTTCTGCAGGACCAGTTTGTCAACAATCTGACCCCGAGTCGCCTTTACAACACAGAACGGATGGTTTCGCAGACAAACAGCATGCTTTCTCCTCCGGTGGAGGACGCTGGCGCTGCTCAGAGGTGGCTGGTCACTTCAGTACAGCATGCTAGCGGCAGCAAGCTGGAACTGACGGCATACGAGGGCGATTATTCCAGCTCGTTATTACCGTACAATTTCAAATCCTTACCTCTGCAGAGCGCACACTCGCTGGGCTACTATCCAGATGCCGCCTTCGCATCCGTCACCGCAGGATGGGGCTCCAGAGGCTCTTATCCCAGAAAAATGGCGTCCGGATTGCCCTGGTCACCCAGACCGAGTCCCACGGACTTCACAGACGACCACATGCCCGATAAGGACAAATCTAGGGAAGGAAACGCATTTAGTCAGACTTCAGCCTGGATGGAGAGCACGCCGCCTTTGAAACCTCTAGACTCTGTGGAGCCGAGCATTTACTCGGTGGTTTGCAAACGGAGGCGAGTTTCTGGAACAGAGCAAGTGTGAAGGTGATACAAGGCCATCGGCTATTACGCTTTCTACGCCAGCAGCTAGAGAAGCGTTCAGTCTCGTCTGATTTTGGTGTGGATGCGCTGAACTGCAAGACTGATCCACATCACGTGTGTCCAACTTTGATCGATTTGGCCATTTTGTGATTTGTGACCCTGGAGCACAAAACCAGTCATAAGGGTCAATTTTTCGAAATTGAGATTTATGTATCATCTGAAAGCTTTCCATTGATGTATGGTTTGTTAGGATAGGACAATATTTGTCTGAGATACAACTATTTGAACATCTGGAATCTGAGGGTGCAAAAAAATCTAAATATTGAGAATATGAATATGAAGTTCTTAGCAATGCATATTACTAATCAAAAATTAAGTTTTGATATATTTACAGTAGGAAATTTACAAAATATCTTCATGGAACATGATCTTTACTTAATATCCTAATGATTTTTGTCATAAAAGAAAAATGTATAATTTTGACCCATACAATGTATTGTTGGCTATTGCTACAAATATACCCCAGCGACTTAAGACTGCTTTTGTGCTGCAGGGTCACGTTTATTAAAATCTCAAGCATATTGTTTCTGTCTAAAGTAATGCTGTTATATGTATTAAACCACTGCTGTTTTGGATGGGTATTTTTAAAAACATCTTTTCTTTTGAATATACAGTATTATTAATTAATTTAGACCATGCAAAACGTCAGAAATTCAGCAAAGAGCTTTGAAAACTAGTGCCTTTTCCACGACTATAAGAAAACTGGTGACACTTTAGTTTGGGGACCAATTCTCACTATTAACTAGCTGCTTATTAGCATGCATACTACTAGAATACTGGCTATTTATTAGCACTTACAAAGCACTTATTCTGCATGACCAGTTAATAGTGAGAATTGGTCCCCAAACTAAAATGTGACCAAAAAATCAAATTGCAAAAAAAGCAGAACAGTCTAGAAGAAACCTGAGACAGAAACTCAGATCAATAACTGAACGGTCTCACTAAAATCAGTATAAGATGCTTGAGTTGGGATGTATGAAGATCTGAATAGACTGTAGAATTGAATGCGTGTTACATTAAGGGAAATACATGGAACAAACACAGATATGGTGGATTATATATCATTAACATGAATCCAGAAGTTCTAAAGCTGTGTAAAGAGAAATATGTAGATGAAGTGTTGCTCACTAAATGTTGAGGACACTGACCTCTAGTGTCAGAACAAAGTAGTGAGGCCTGAAGAACATCTGATCAGTCCCTTAAAGGGATAGCTCACCCAAAAATGAAAATTCTGTCATCATCCGCTTGTTCCAACGCTGTTGAACACAAAAGAAGATATTTTGAAGAATGTTGGCAACCAAACAGTTGCTGGTAGCCACTGACTTCCATAGTATTTCTTTCCATACTACACTCTCAGAAAAAAAGGTACAAAAGTTGTCACTGGGGTGGTACCTCTTCAAAAGGCACAACTTTGTACCTAAAGAGTCCATACTGGTACCTTAAAGGTACATATTAGTACCTAAAGTGTACATATTGGTACCTAAAGTGTACATATTAGTACCTAAAAGGTTCAAAAGTGTACCTTTTGAAAAGGTACCGCCCCAGTGACAGTGTTTGTACCTTTTTTTCTGAGAGTGTATTAAAGTCAGTGGCTGCCAGAAACATAATAAAGTGCTCAACATAAAAAAGAAGCTCACTGGAACAACTTTTTGGGTGAACTGTCCCTTTAAAAGTCAAACGTTTTAAGTTTGATAAACCCAAATTAAACCATTTAATGATTTTAGAAATAACTGTCAGTAATGGGGAGACAACATACCTTGCAGCTTGAGTCCTGCTCAGTCATAAATACATCTATATATATAACCACATCATTTCAATAAAATCATGTAATTTCTCCAACAGATCATGAATGAATCAGATGGCAAAACTCTGATGAGAAACCAACAGAACGTGTTGCCCAGAAAGATTCATTAGATTTGGGAAATTCTCCATTGAACAACAATACCAATAACACTACTAATAATACATGAACTTTATAGTGCACCTTCAAAACGGTTTACAAAGTGCTTGTGTGTACATTCAAATGAAAACTAAAAAAAACTATAATAGTTACATTGCACATAAGAAGAGCATGTGTGAGATTGAGGGAATGCAGAAGCACTTTAAGACACTTTTCCTGTGTTTCGAACTGTCCGTAGATGAGCAAATATCATAAATAATGTCTCAGCGGTCATCTTGGGACAGCTTTTTTCAGTCATGCAAGTACAGCTCCTGATCCAAATACTGAAACACTCTCTAAAACTACTCACATTTCTTTCAGAATCTCACTTAAACATTGTTTCTGACCCACAAATAATGCTAAAATCCTGCGTGTCAGGGTTTCTGCAAGTTCTGCGAAGGCAAGTTTAAGACTCTTCTGAGACCAAGAAAAGAAAATCGAAGGAATAAATTAAAGGGAACTCAATACTTCACTATGCTCTCAATGTAAATGTCTAAGGAGAACACATTGAGTTACATTAGCAACACTTCAAAGCATGAAAACACAAAGTCCGACAGATAAAAATCAACTTAATTCAAAGGGAAAACTAATTTTCATTTCCCATAAACTCTCTTCATATTGATACATTAAAAAAAAAAAGCAAGACTTAATTTTTTGATTTCAGGATGTTTAGATATGTGTACTTAAAAACAAGACAATAATACTGAGGAAGATATTCATTTTTTTGCAGTTCATGCCATGACTTTATGAATTTAAGACTTTTTTTGCTCTGATTTAAGCCCTTTTTAAGCCTTAATTTGTGGAAGGACGACTTAAGACCTGCAGAAACCCTGATTATTTCATAATGCACATGTGCAGAGTTTCACATGTGGTGTTTTCTAATGTGGTTGTTTTTTAAAAACAAGGACACAGAAAAATCTAATGTGCATTATTTCAGATAAAAAGTTCCCATGTCTTCCAGAAGGTTCTGTGACATCCAGCAGTGAATGTTCTCTATATGCCCATCAGATAGATGAAGCTCTACTTTAGAGCATAGAAATCGGACTGATCTGGAAATAAATGAATCCGGTCAGACTTGAATGGGTTTTCTGCTGCGCTGCAGTTCTTCTTTCCATTTCCTCATGGCCCACGTCTGAGCAGAAACTCCAGAGAGCGTCGAGCGTCGTTCCTCCTGCAGGAACAGAGACATTCACATCAACTGATCACATGTAAACCTTGAATGCAATCCAAGTTGCTTTGAATAAAAGCATCTGCTAAATGCATGTGAATGTAAAGTCCGTCAGGTGCATGCTGGGATGCTTTGAACCGCAATGTTTCTGGTGGTCTTCAACCATTTTTGACCAAATCGGAATGGAAAAGGTTAAACTTCACTTGCTATGTGAACACAAAAAAATCATGGACGTGATTTGAAAAGGTTAAATGGTCTTAAAAAAATATTCACTCTAGTATTGTTCATTGGACACCGATGGGAAACTAAGTTCATCTAGTGGAAACGTTTGGTACTGCGCCCAAACAAAATCTTACTCAAAGCTCATTTTTTGTGATGTCAACCTAAAATTTGGAGCACAACCTGTTTAGATTTATGACTTTCATTTTCTCAGTTTTAGAGTAAAACGTGTTTTGTTAAATGCATATTTCATATAATTTTGGAAATATTTTTGTGCATTTTCATAATAAAATTAGATAAACTTTTTCATTTTTTTTAATTAACTTTGACAATAATGTATCATTTAGTGCTTTTTTAAAAAGAGACCAAATTTAAGTCTGTGCACATTCAAGATTTATGACCGTGTAAGTTGAAAAGTTCAGGTCTATGCTTAAGATGATTAATGGATTATAACTAGGGTTGCAAAGGGGTGGAACATTTCCGGAAACTTTCCAAAAGTCCCTGGAATATTCCCAAAAATCCTGGAAAGTTTCCAAAATTTCTGGAATACTTCCGAAATCTACTGGAATTTTTTTCGCAACCCTAATTATAACTACTGCACAAGTATAATTTAGTACCATAAAATCCTTTAAAAATACAAACTATTAAATAAAAAACATTATCAAATAAAATTACAGTGCATTCATGTCATTGAAATAAAAAAAGGTGATGTTTTTAAGCAGAGGCTCCTCATACACACCCCGTATGCCGGCGGATCTGAAGACGGGACCGGCCTCCCCCAAACTAAAATGTGACCAAAAAATCAAATTGCAAAAAAAGCAGAACAGTCTAGAAGAAACCTGAGACAGAAACTCAGATCAATAACTGAACGGTCTCACTAAAATCAGTATAAGATGCTTGAGTTGGGATGTATGAAGATCTGAATAGACTGTAGAATTGAATGCGTGTTACATTAAGGGAAATACATGGAACAAACACAGATATGGTGGATTATATATCATTAACATGAATCCAGAAGTTCTAAAGCTGTGTAAAGAGAAATATGTAGATGAAGTGTTGCTCACTAAATGTTGAGGACACTGACCTCTAGTGTCAGAACAAAGTAGTGAGGCCTGAAGAACATCTGATCAGTCCCTTAAAGGGATAGCTCACCCAAAAATGAAAATTCTGTCATCATCCGCTTGTTCCAACGCTGTTGAACACAAAAGAAGATATTTTGAAGAATGTTGGCAACCAAACAGTTGCTGGTAGCCACTGACTTCCATAGTATTTCTTTCCATACTACACTCTCAGAAAAAAAGGTACAAAAGTTGTCACTGGGGTGGTACCTCTTCAAAAGGCACAACTTTGTACCTAAAGAGTCCATACTGGTACCTTAAAGGTACATATTAGTACCTAAAGTGTACATATTGGTACCTAAAGTGTACATATTAGTACCTAAAAGGTTCAAAAGTGTACCTTTTGAAAAGGTACCGCCCCAGTGACAGTGTTTGTACCTTTTTTTCTGAGAGTGTATTAAAGTCAGTGGCTGCCAGAAACATAATAAAGTGCTCAACATAAAAAAGAAGCTCACTGGAACAACTTTTTGGGTGAACTGTCCCTTTAAAAGTCAAACGTTTTAAGTTTGATAAACCCAAATTAAACCATTTAATGATTTTAGAAATAACTGTCAGTAATGGGGAGACAACATACCTTGCAGCTTGAGTCCTGCTCAGTCATAAATACATCTATATATATAACCACATCATTTCAATAAAATCATGTAATTTCTCCAACA